GCCGGTGGGAGGTTGAAACGTATAAAAAAAGATACAAGAACGACAAAATGCGCAGCATCGTCAGATAAAAAAAAGTGAAAAAAAAAGGAAAAGACGGTAATGGAAGGGTTGGGTAAAGGTTAGTATTTATTTCAATTGGCGGGCTGCTCGATCGGTCTTGCCTATGGTCCAATCAACGTACGACAATAGATTTGTTGTCGCGGCAGTGACAATCGATTGGTCAGGCAATCTCATTTACGGCCTGCAGTCAAGCACTACAAATCAATATAGCACTTCCATATAGGCTTTGCGCCATTGCAGCGCAATGTACCGCGAGCGCACTTGAGATCTGCTCCCTCCTGTTTCCCTTATTCTATTTGCACGTAAAACCAACCTGACCGGTTTTTGTGCACGGTTTTTCCTCTTTCGTGCCCACGTGTTTTTTTTGCCTTCCTGTACGGTCCCGACAACAAGCACACATCGGGCAAATGCTTTAGTTGCAACTCGCAAAACATTAAACGCTTTAAATTCGCTTCCCAGCTAATATTTTTATTTGTAATTTCACGTTAGTTGCTGCATATCTTTCGGAAGTTATACACACACACACATATTTATGGGAATTTCTTTGTCAAATGGAACAAAGCTCTGTCCAAAATTCACGTGGATAGATTTTGGCTATCTAGGGCTCAAATTGTTCCTTATCAACTCCCCTTTATGAAACCACATGACTTTTTCGAAAATATTAATATGATGGTTAATATGGCGATTACAATACACGACAAAATAAAAACCTCAATTATACAAGTTTGTAAAAAAAATTTTTAACTTTCTATTCAATTGGTTAAGGCCTTAAATTGTTGGTAGTTGGCGTCCTTATAGGGTTAATAAGGTAGCATGGTCAAATATAAGATGGCTGATCTAATATAGTGACTAATAGCAAAAAATAGTCGAAAAAAAAATGTTGTCAGATAGATATCAAATTCAGTCTATGGAAATTTTTGAGGTCGCTGAATAAGAATCCGAGATTAGATTTTCAAAATTCACAATATGGTACTAACACCCTAAAATCCAGCTAAGTTTACAAAAATACACATACACACACATATACATACTGATACATGTTATTCTAAGCTTAAAACAATGTGTGTGTGTCTGGAGCATTGTATATCTATTGAAAACTCCAAGTTCATTTTGTAAACATACATAGATTGAGTGCAAGGTGTATTTCAATCTTGTTGTATGACAAGGATTAGAAAGCATCTGGCAGTTGTGGTTTACAAGCAGGTTTAGGTTAAGCACTCGCGTGGAATAGCACACAACGTGATTAATCCATGTATACTACAGCAGCTGAAAAGCAATTTCTGCTTTATAATTTTTGTCAAGTCTTATCTTCTCGGTGGAACATAAACATTTTAATTATCTACAAAATATCAATAAGCTACCGGAATTGAGCCACGTCAATACACCGTGTACCCGTACATCTATTTCAAAAAAGAATTAGTTGGTACACATACTAATGATTTCAAAGAATAAGTACTTCTCGGTAACATATTGTTCACTTCGAATAGAAAGTTTTTTGGAATTAATTCTTGCTATCGTAGGCTTTTTTAGAACTTTTTAATAAGTTCATTAAAATGAGTTGTATAATCATTTTAGAAGCCAAAAATCCAATTACAGTTCCATTGTTTGAAAATGATATTCAACGTTCACTAGAACGGTAGTGAGATTACATTTGTGGTTTCAGGCAGAGTTTAATCAAACAGAAAATTCAGACGGGCTTATATTGCCACACTGATAATTGATTCGAAGGACGAGCGAAGCCGCTCGTAGTGTAAGCAATGAGCACACATACGCACTTCACGGACAACATTCAATCTACCAGTGTATCATAGTTACGAACTCACTTGATTCGTGGAGCACTGATCTACGGATTTCTCTCCTAAATGAATATGTTAGTGTTTCTTGATAGCAGATGTGTATCGCAAGACGTTAGTTCAAACTCAGTTCAGTTTGTACTTGATTGTGAAATTCACTTAACAAAATTCACGGCAAAATCTTGATTTACTCGCTGTTGGTGCTTTTCTGCGATGTCCAATATCTTGTTCGAAGCTATAAAATATCTGACCCCTGCTGGACATCGAAATATCTGACACGTGTACCTATTTTATGTGTCAGTTATTTGGCTAACAATATATATGCCTAATATAAACATCTTTAATAAAACTCGCTGGCCTGTTAGATCGGCACTCTGGCAAGAACCAATGAGTCCTTTCGTACGATATGGTAAACCGATCGCCGAATCGAGAGCCACGCAGAAAATAAGCAATACACTTTGAGCAGCGGCTTGTCATCCATAAAACTCGGCGGCAATAGTCGGAAGCGTTACTTCCAACATAATGCGATCGTAGCGAGAAATAATCTTGCGCAGTTTGCGAGGGTTCGTTATCAGCTAAAGCGCAACAACTACTGTAGGACGAGTTTTGCGCTGGTCTTTATTAAAGCGTAGCCGCTATAAAAGCGAATTCGAGATACCGCAGGCTTTTAATCGGATTTTTATGCGCCGCTAGCCTGTCGCGGTTGGCACTTGTCGAACAGGCGTATAGGTGGGCAGCAAACCAGCGCAAGCCGGCGTCCTGATACCCTTTCAGTTTAACGGCCCTCGTTAATCTCTTTCCTTTCTCCGCTCTCGTGGGTGCCCGCTTTTACGTACCCATGTGACGTTCGCAAAACTTGTATCGCCAAGAGAGAGAAGGAATAAAGAAGAATAGTGCTTCTCGATCCTGTGGCACACTACGAGAAAGCTTATTCTCTTATTTCTCGGCGACCATTAAATCACACTACTGGCGAATCTACTGACGTCACACATGGCCCCTAATGATTCTCCTGGGCGTAGAGAGCTCTTAAGAAGCAGCATGTTTCGATTTACGACGAAGACACAGCAATGTGACGGTCAACTTGTGCGGCTATCTGTGTGTGCTCGTGGCTTGGCGTTGGCTGACAATTTATTTACGAGCTTTACCGTCGATGACCTTTCGCGATCAATTTCAGCAGAATGCGCTGGACACTAAAAATATCTAAGCCGACCTTCAAATATCTAAGTATCCTCGGATTTTTTTTCATTATTTATGACAGGTGTCCTTCGTTTCGCGCCCTTCTCGAAATATCGCGCCGTGCGGGCTATGATTTTCTTCCGCCCCCTGCTCCTTCAACTATCCCACGTACATGCACACGTCTTCTTTTCATTTTGATTTATAGCGCCTTTTATTTTCCTGCAAAATCTTTGAATTTACAATACCAATAGCTGCCAAATAACATTCCAAATTCAATATATCGCTCAACGAGAAAGAAAACGCCAACCAACAAATTTTCAATACTATCGCACAGCTCTCGATTCTCCATCGAGCGTGCCAGGTGAATTTTGCTCGAAATCGAACGGAGATCGCTTGCTAGATCTGCTAGATGTATTCATATGTAAACCAGCAGTCACCAACATCAGGAATTGTAAAATAAAAATTCATAGATGCAATATCGCCCGGAATTCTTTTCTTTTGCTTCTTTTTTCTATCTTTCTACTTGACAAATTCTGTTTAAAATATCCCAGATTATTAACATTATCGCTAATACTATTTGATGGCTAAATAATAAGATTTATAGCCAGACTACGTTGTAACCTATGTAAGAATTGCCATGACTGCAAAAACGGCCCAATACTGTTGGAGCACTGGCAACCGAACCTAGTTTTGTCAAGCACTGGACCGGCTTTGAGCCAACATTGAATTGATAAGAATGGTCCGAGCACCGGCAGCCAATACTGTACCAATAATCTATTTTTGAACGATTTTAATATTTTTTGTTTTCCAGCGCTGGTACAATACTAATCGTTAATCATGATGCGCATGTTTATAAAGAATATTAATAATAACATTTTAACCTAAAATATATGATAAGTATCGTGTTTTCCGAGTAGCTTTCATTATACCACGCAATGCTGAACAGTTATTCATATCTCAAAAAATCAAGATCCTTGAAAAGGAAAATTCTCTGTTCATCGTCGAGCAGCAGCTGTAGCGACAATGGCAATATTTTTATAAAAAAACTTGATGCGCTTGACTTATCCCAAAAACGTAATGATCGATGCTCGAGGTAAATTTTATAAGATAATTGACATTTTTTATCTATGTGTTTACTTTAATTAGGTTGAGTGCACATACTATTGTTCGTTAAGTTTGACCTCTTAGTATTAACATAAATGTTGTATAAATATTGTTGTTACCTAATTTGTTACTCGTCATACTTATCTTGAAAATGTTAGCAATTAAATTTTAAATAAATAGTTACATGAGTATGTAGTATGTAAAATAATTCAATAATAAATAAAGAAAACGTTGACGCTAAAAAATGCGTTCTTATTTATTAGCTTGATAGTGTGCTTGTCCGACAATGACAACAAATATTGCGTTACCAGTACTGAGCCATGGTCAATGCGTCGGCAATGGCTCACTACTGAAAACATAACCTTGGCCCATTCTTATCATTTCGTTACCCAGATGACGTTGGACCAGCACTGGCGGCCTGTACCGGCAGTCTTGGTTAACGTTGCTGTGCCAATGTTGGGCCGTTTTGACTTTCTTACACGGGAATATCATTTCGACATATACGAACCTATATCAGAGATTAAAATTGTATCAATTACCTTTCTTCGTTTACTTTTTACTTTTCTTCAACAACACTTCACGCTAATTAACATAATTAATAGTCATTGTTTGGCTAAAACAATACGATTTTGTAGATTTTGGCCAGTTATGTTAATAATTCAGATTTCTAACTTATTAAAAATGATAAGCCCAAAATGGGCATCCGGTGAATTTCTTGCACATGATGCAAGTGCTTTATAATCCTAAAACTAAGCTCAATAAAAGTTGTATTTTGTCGAGCTTTATGAGAAAACAATATTATAATAGCGGTACATGAAAATAACTGCGCAAATATTTGAAGGAAAAACGTATGTATGTCTATTGCAGTTGCGTCTCCGCCAGAACGACGAGATACGCGAGACGACATTGGACTGGGTGGTGTCGGAGCCGGTGGAGGCAATACGCCGGTCGCCGGCACTCCGGCTAGCCCTAGCAGCGCCGTCGGTGCCACGGCACAGCAGGCAGCCGGCAACTCGCCAGCAGCGGCAGCAGCACCGCCAGCGCCATTGCCCGAACACTCGTCCTCCTCCTCTCCTTCTCCAGGTCGCAATGGCCAGCTGCCAAGTAAGTTGCTTTTTATTCAACTCGTGCTAGCTTCTCAGCCGTACCTTTTTGAGCATCGTACGTGCCTGCTGCATTTTCGATTCTTGTGGTGCTTCAAGAAGTTTATATGAATATTATATTGTGATCTTGTCAACGCGTAAACTGTTAGCCAATGACGCATTTAATTCACTTGCAAAATTTCATGTTCAAAATGAATTTACCTCAATTGAACAGGTTCAATGAACTTTACAGAGTCTAGATTCCGCGAAACAACTACTGCATCTTTCCATTCCGGAATTTCACGATATCTAGATAGGAACGCTCGACAACTCTTACTATTTATGCAAAAATCGAAACAGAGTGATAAAGTTTAACCGTAAACAAGTATAATGACGTTTTTTATAGTCTTTTATTCAGTTGCACCCTCTACAGGTTTTTATAGCTTGAAATATGCATAAAACAGCAATAGAATCTAACATATGTACTGTATAGTTTTTTAATTTCCTTTACCAATCTCTCAAGCCATGATATATATTTTGTTCAAATAATTTAATAAAAATGCATAATCAACCGTTTTAATAAAAATATGTTTTTAAATCTGTCAAATAGTGCTTTACATACAAAAATAATGACTTTTCAAAAAATCACTTACATGGCACGCCATAAAAAAACGTTATATAGATATTCAAATGTTAAAAGTAGTAAAATCTCCTAAAGTATCATTCATTTTATTGTAATATTTTCGAAGAAAGAAACTTTTAAATAATTCGGAAACTTGTTCGATTTTTAAAACTTACTTGTAACTGATTACGCAACAGAGTTGCTATCGTAAGATGCTTATTTTACCGATATCTCATGCGCCAGACTGTAACATGGGGTGAAATAAAAATCACTTGAAATCTATTTAGTTTATAAACTCATTTATAGTATAATATTTATATTATACTAACATTTATAGTATAGTATTTTGTAGGAAAATATTGTATATACTATTTATTATAATTTTATCATGATAAAATTGAATATATTATAAACTTATTACAGAATTTTATTGAAAAAAACTAAATAAAAAAGTAATAAATTAAAAAAAAACATTCTTATTATTATAATATTAAATTAAGAAGCTCGCTACAAATACTATCAAAATCTATTTTAAAAGCGACTAAAAATTTTCAGTGGAAACAATTTTGTAAGCAAAACCATTGATCACTACGAAGACTATAGAAATTCATCATCCCTTCTTTTATTTACGTACTCCATTTTCTATGCTTCTTATTAAGCTGTGGTTTACAGGCTCTTTATGACGACGACATTGTATACATTTTTATTAAATTCATCTTTACGGCCGCAGTAGCTTAGAATATGTACTGAATTTGTTAAAGGTCTAAATTGTAAAGCGCTAAATATGAAATATGACTGATATAAATTGTTAAATTTTTCTTATTAAAGTAAGATTTAGTAAAGTAAAATGTACTGAACTGTAGGAACATATGCATAGATGTATTAAATTAAAGTACGTATTTAAATTAGAGATGGGACAGACTATTTATTATGAGGCCAAATACAGATATGTTTACTCATTCTTGTAGTACCAGTAGCATATCGAAGCTAATAATATATTTATCCTAGTATATAATACTCTAATAAATCTTTGATACTCTTTTTTATTATTTAAACATTGAAATACTATATAAAATACTCTCCGAATACAAAAAATAATATTGATAAAAACAAAAAAATATGAAATAAATATTATCATACTAAATAAACACGAGCGATACAATTTAAACAAGAACAAATTACCGTACTCCCACTGTAAAGTAATCTTGAATTACTAATTAGACCTTAAGAGACAGATATTGATGAAGCTTAAGGCAATAATTTAATAAATAAATCTTTATTCATAGCTTAAATAGTCTAATAATACATATTTAGAAGTTAGGCATAGTTCGTTTACTCGAAGATAACTGTTTGAAGAATGAGTAAATAATTATCCAAGTTAAATAATTGCATCTGATGTAAGACAATGAAATATATCTCAATTAGAAAGTACTTTTATGTCTCTAATCAAACAGATTTTCATGAACATCTACCATTCTACTTATTTTACAGAGCAAGGCACACTAACGATAACTCGTCGAAGTTCCGCTAAAAATCGAACTAATACAAGTGGGAGCTTCGAAAATCCCGGTTATTCCGACAGTCCCGAAGCTTATCCGCACGGTCAGTCCGTCGATCTCGATGAAATTCTTGACAACGTGGATTTAGCGACGGATTCTTTGCCCGCCGTCGATACACCAGACGCGTGTGATAAGGCAGCTCTCAGGTAAGATTTCATTTTTATCTCTTGTCCCCCTTTTAAAAACAAGTTGTCGAATGTTTTAAAGTATTAAATGCGTGCGCAAATAGGTAGACGTTTCTTCGTTATTGTTTATGTTTATAATTTTAATTATATTAGTAATCTTGATCTTAGGAGTCATCCCTATAAATAAACTACACACTTATTTAATTATAAACGTTTACATTACAAAACGTATGTTTATATTATAATACAATACTAATATTGAAAGAATTCATTTATTTATAATAATATATATTCAACAGATGTACTGAGGTGGCAATAAATAAAATTGCGAAACGTTTATAATAAAATAAGTGTGTAGTTTATTTATAGGGATGACTCCTAAGATCAAGATTACTAATATAATTATCAAACATCAGGAGTGGAAAAAATTAAGAATAGTTTATAATTTTAAATGAAAAGAGGTTGTAATTAGAACTGCAGATAATGAGCAGCGCACCAAGTTTTTTCTCTTTTTTCGTTTTCTTTTTAAATCGAACTGTTAGCTCAATCTAACATTTTAATATTCTTTATTTTTTAACATATTTGTTTATAATTTTCAACTTCTTTAAAAATATTTTCATACCAATAGGTATATTATTGTAACAAAACTATCATTGAATAATGTAGTTATCATCTGTAGTAGTCTTGGGGTTTGTCTCGTTATAAGTTTAACTCCAAAAAATTTTTGTAATAAATTACTGCACCGAATCACTTCACAGTATTTTATATGAAATAATTTATTTATTTTTACTGTTTTTTTCACTGTTCATAATGTTTATTAGAAGCTAAAGTTTATAACAGATATGTACAATAAATTGATATCTTCAGAAAATGAAAATATGAAAATATATATTATTCTCTTTTTAAATCGATGTAAACCGCCTCGAAAGTTAATTATACCAGGATTTCATTAAATATCAGCTGTTGCGCCATAAATTATATTATATCGAATGCACGCACATATCCATATGTCACATAATATCAACGCACATAATTACCTTTTAATCAATCAGATCATGAAAAAATCAATTTACTTGATATGTCATCACTTTTTAAGAATGTCAACATTACTTTAATTTGTCATATATAAAGAACAAAATATAAAAATTGTAAAGAACCCTACAGATATTTGATAAAAATGTAATTAAAATTAATTAAGACTTCATTTTTCAGTTTTCAATAAGTGACATAACTTTGATAACAAATGCAAACAGTTACAATTTTTTAGTTATCTAAATAATAAATAACAGTAATAAAAAGAGCAAAATTCATTTGCTCGGTGACAAGTTTTTTTTGAAATTTACAATATTAATGAAAGATAGTTTAGGAAATAAATTTTTAATTATCTAGAAAAAAAAAATTGAAAAATGCTAATGGAAAGTTTAGCTGTAATAATTTAAACACCATTGTAGATTGATACAGCGTATAGCTACTGGCAGCGACGATAATACCTCTTTCTGTGGCTTACTGAAGAGGCAAATCATTGTCAGTTCATATCCATTATCATTCTTTTAATAAGCATTGAAATTATCATGCGACGAACTGGTTAGCAAAATAATTCATAAGCAGATTAATAAGGCCAAAGAGAAACTGTTTTTAGCGAGAAACTAAGACAAAATCGATGAATTGATCCTACGGTGAACTTCTGTTGTCTTAAGGAAGAGATATTGACAATATTTCTTGACTACTCAAATAAACTTTTTTTTTTGTATATTTAATTTTTTTATCAAGTTATACTAACAGCATATCAATTTTTATTCGAATAAAACTTTTTTTTTTAATAATTATATGTGTAAAAAAATGCCATTAGGAGATCTATTAATGTACTGTATGGATTATTTTGTCTGTAGGTTGAGATGCCTTCTGCGAAAGTTGGAACACGGTGAAATTTCTGCTGATCTTCTGCAACGCAATCTGCGGTATGCAGCACGCGTGCTTGAAGCAGTTTTTATTGATGAGACAAAGTAAGTAAAAAGTCAAATGTGGTAGCTAAATTTTTAATTTTTTATTGTGGTTATATATATATATATACGTGTGTGTGTGTGTGTGTGTGTATATATACAATATATATATACACACTAAATTATACAAGTTTTATATTATATATTTTTTTTAATTTAATCTATAAGATATTAACAATATCTGCCGGTGAGGGGACCTGAGCGAAGATATTGTGCTGCTATTATCTTCGAAGAATTATTATATTGTTTGTTTATATTCGAAAGAAAATATAATAAATTCAGAAATTATTATCAGTTACATTTTGAAGTATATAATGTATTCGGAAATATTTTCTACTTTGAAACATATCTTGAGCATTGTTTTTTTATTCACATTTCAAGCAAATCGTTTTTCGAAAATACTTCTCTCTTTACTCTTTTTAATTAAAAGCTACTTATACATATCGTGAAACTATTTTTTGTCGGTGTTAAATGTTGTATAATATTTTACAGTGTAAAAGTGACTAATATATTTTTATTTTTACTCTTCACACTATGGAAAAGTCAAATATTTCAGTAGTCATTCTTTTCTATTATGATTAATTTTTGTAATTGTTGTTTAAGAATAGTTAATCTAATAATGCATTACAAAAAAATGTATTAATTATATGAATTCTTAGTACAGGATCTATTACTTTTATAATATTATATGATTAATTATTGAAAGTATTTAGATATAATTAGAAAAAATAATGTACTTCAATTTGAAGTCAATATAATTTAGAGCAAAAAATAAATCCTCAACAGTGATTGATTGAGCAATTAAGATATTTACATGTGGGCGCATATAAGTATAAAATATTTTCATGCAAATTACAAATAGTTACAAACTTTTGAATTATTGATCGGATCTAGCAGAAAGTGACAGCGAACTAATAACTTTAAAAACATAGTTTTTCAGACGTTTTCCTTGATAAATTCTTTATTTTCTTTTTATTGTTCAACTTATCAATATTATTATAATATTTTAAATATCAAAAAAGCTTATCCTGTTTATAATATTTTGTTAAGTCTGAAGTTGTCATATACGATACTGAAGACTTCATATAACCGAACCCACTCTGCAAATTACACGGATGGAATTTGCATCTAATTACTGAATGAGAAAGATTAAGAGTAAAACCAAGACGTCCAATTAGAACACGTCAAATATTTTATTGAAATTTCTGAGATGCTCCAATCTCTAAGGTTCCAATAAAATATTTGTAGTGCTCCAATCAGACGGCTTGAGTTTAATCTCCACCATTTTCATATTTAATGAACATTTTTGAAGTATCCTGAAAAAGGAAAAGCGCATATATCTAATAAGTAGGAAATGAAAATAAAAAAATTTTTCAAATCAACCCATTTATCCAATGAAAGGATCAACGGATCAAAGCTGAAAGAGTAACGAAAACGACAATAACTTTCGTAATTACCAGGGTTATCTTATTTTCAGCACGCTCGGATTAATCTACGTGGAAACGAGAAATGAGTTTTAAATCCCTACTAATACGTCATAATATAATCTTCCACTACATCTTTTTTCTTCTTTTCTTTTCTCTATTCTCTTTGTGTCGAAATTATAATGTGAAAGAATAATAAAAGCTATTAACTTATGAAACAGTGCATTTCATGAATAAAAGTTTTTCCAGCTGAGTCCTGAACTCTGACAAAATTATTAATTGACGTATTTATGAAATGCTATTTTAATACATTGAACGAAATGGTATTAAATATATAAACACTCTAATCCTATTATTCTAATGGAACCAGAAGAATATTATCTTTTAATGGAAATAATAAGAAATATTGCAATCAACTACAAATACAAGTACAATGAGAAATGATAAAAGAAAAAAAGATAAAAATAGACTTTAAATTTTTGAATTAGAAATGCTTTATTGTAAACGAAAATTTTTTTAAGAAGTATTTCCTTATAATTTTTTTGCGAAATGAATAAAACATAATTTTAAATGCCTGTAGTTTTATGTATTGATTTTATTTTGTTGTTTATTTTATTTATTGATTTAGTTTTTTATTGAATATATTGAAATATTATAATACTGAATTAAAGAACTCATATAAACTACATGTATTCTAGGTTATAGATCTTATTCATAAAACTAAGGCATTTAATCTATCCAGGATTTGATTCGCAAGTAATGATAAACATAGCTAACAGTATTTAATGTACTATTCGCACAGTTGTACATCGAAAAAAGAAAAAATAAATGAAAGATAAATGTAAAGTAATTGATTGTGTGCTTTGTAATATCGCTAATGTATGACTAACGAGCACTACCCTAGGGTGACCTCGCGAACGTCGCGTAGGGCGACAGGCCTGACATCGGCGCCTTCGACAACAACACCACCGCCAGGAGGCGGCTTTGACTCCGATGGACTACAGAGCCACGCTGTGGCAACTCAGAAGCGGAAGCTTCGCACCCCCGTGTGGGCCAGGTTGCGACTAACATTCACAATTACCAACCCCATATCCACTGCCACCTTCGACTGCCTTTACGCTTAGACTTTAATCAATTTTCACATATATCTTTCTTTTTTTATCACATTATCGCGTGCTACTAGTTTCTTATTAGGTTATACTATCTATGCGTTCAATTATCAAATGTTCTCAATATGAAATATTAAACACCTTACTTTATTCATAGCTTTAACTCGCTCATTGAACTCTATTCAGTAAAATGGTATTTTTTATAAAATATTCGGATATTAAATATATAAAATACTATGCATCCAAAATTTATATTTTGGATACCATGAATATAATATTAAAATATTAATTAAAATTTCTCATTTTAAATATAATAAATTTCTTGCACTTGTAATATTAAAAAAATTAAAATTATTAAATGTTCTTTTAATTTTTGTTATGATTTTTAAATATTGTTAAATTGTAAACTGCATTTAATTCTTACTATTATTAATAATGCTTTATTATCAATAACAAAAAGCTCCTATAAAAATATTTTAAAAAACACATACATAGAATACAATAGATAAAATATACATTGGTACATAATATATTAGTTGATTTTACGATTATCATTTACGTTGAAAATGTCATATTCATAATAATACGTGAAAGTAATTTTTTACAGTTCAATCAATCAAAATTTATTATTCATCATGTTAAAACTTTATTTAAAACGCAAATATTCTTGTGATCTTTTATCGTATAGATATATCCCAATTCTTTTCCCCTTTATACCCTGATAACTTTAGGTAAAAGGTAAAATTGAATTCATTAATTAAGAAATGCTATCATTACACAATATTTCTTCGTAAACTTATATGAAATAAAATGCTAACCTGAAACAATTGAATTAGATGCTACGTAGGAAAATGAATATTCAAAATACAGTGCACATTAATTATTTCAGATTAACGCTTAAAAATAAGTTAAGTATTTAATCTTCAAAATTTTTACGATTTAATTGTTTTCATTTCAATAGATTTAATACTAATCTAGTATACTTGAACATATTTATCACTATAATAAATACATAAATAAGTCAATAATACTTAATATTATTCACTATCAAATTATTTGAATGTTGAAATCAACTTTATAAATATAATAAAATTAAGTACAATACAATAAAGATCTATTTTGTAATATAATACACATATTTTTGATTGAAATTTTGATAGATGTTAAATTTTATTTCCCTACGATTCCCAGATGCATTCTTAGAAAGTTACTTATTCTGTCTTGTCTTCATAAAAGTATTGATGTGACACTTTAATAACTTTAAAATTATGCTTAGATTACGTTCAGGTAATAGATATAGGTAAAGAAATATTTATGGCTCAATAAATATTTTTCACTTATTTATAAAATCAGTATGTTTAAGGTAAATTAAAATAAAATTAATAGTACAAACATATGTGACTGTAAAACGATAGAAATAATTTTTATACAAACAAATCATACTTTTAGAATTACCTTAGTTTTTTGATTATGGCAAAAAAGGAATATATCGAATTTATTAATTTCAAAGAGCATTTATAACATTACATAATTAAAGGTGCAAGTTTTTTTTAAATAGAAAAAATAAATAAATGCAAGTCTATCATATGTCTAATGTGCAAAGTTCTTTATAGACTTTTTCGACCAATATAAAAGGCACCTTGTTCATAATCCTCGCTGAAACATAACTTAATACACTTGACATATGCACACAGCATGAAATTGTGTACTAGATAAGCTGTCTATATATATATAGCAGTTATCATTTATGCAACTTGTAACCTATTTGAATTATGTCTGTTAATACGTGGATGTGTTATGGGTCCTACATTGTCTATGTTTCTATTTCCAGCTTAACATTTATCTGTCTCTTTTCTATCTTCAGCATACCATCATTATTTGACCATAGTTATCGTACATCCATCACGTAAATATTTGAAATACTTGTTAAACTACAAAACTTTCTAGCCCTGAAACTTGCGCCTGCTAATGCCAAATGTTATTGAATATTCTATCAATTCTGAGAATGTCTCTTTGATGCACCTATACACATAAACACTATACTTTATTATCATATATATCTATATTTATAATATTCTAAACATTAGTAGAAACTTTAGTATTATAATTTTTATTATTATAATTTTTGCTCTAATATATGTAAATTATTATAAATAAAATAACTACTTTATATAAAAATACCTAATATACTATTTTAACAATGGAAGATAAGACACTACACATTTCTTACGTCTTTAATATTTTTGTGTATCAAGTGTTACATAAATTAATTGAACAAAACTAAAAAACTTAATGATGAAATAAATGAACGTTATTCTTAGTTGTACTCTTTGAAAATAAATTATGTAGCAAATCTTATGTTTAATAATATATTGTTCATATTTTTGCTTCTCTGAAAATAAAAGTAATTTTTATTAATTTATTTTAACAAATCAGTTTGAATATGAATATTTACTTCAAAAATATTAGGACGTATTAGATAATGGTGGTAATCAGAATGCTACGTAAATACAGATGTTAATTTTTTTTTCTTATTTTTCTATGTTAAAGTTTGTGTGATCCTTAGAATTTTAAGAACTTATGTCTACTCTTTGCGATAACGTGGGTAAATTGTAAGTCGAATATTCTTAAGATCCCCGCTTACTTTTTCTTTCTTTCGATTCTTTTTCATCTTCTTTAATCTTTTCAGTCACAAAAGCAACTATAGTAGCTACATATTTCATTTCCTTTTTTCTTCATTTATTCTTCGAAATCATCGGTAAATATGAAAATTTTTACATTTTTCTGTACTAAACTTCTGAAACTTTAATGTATTTAGAAAATTTTACGAATTTATACATAATTATTATTGTTATAAATAAATATATAAAAACAAGTATGTTTTCATGAAACTAATTCGTTATCGGCAAATTAGATGATAAACGCATGCTAAAAATTGTCCATCTTGTGGTTTTTAGGGTCACTGGTTATAAATATGGAGTCAGATTTTGCAAATTTAAAATGGCGGATCCAATATGACTGACGAAAAATGTCATATTTAATAAAATGTGAATTTAAAATTCGTTTTGTGGATTTTTGGGGTTTGGTAACAAATATGATGTTGAATTCTAATAATTCTACAAATACCATTCGTAACGTTCCGCTATGCATTGGAGAAAAAATAACTGCTACGAGGTATACCATAGGAAATAAAAGTTATCTTTCAGTCATCGTCGAACCTTCAAGGAGGACAGACGTAATTTTGTTGTGATCAGCGACTCGCGAGTACTACGTGTTATCGTCGCGCAACTCACTTTTATCTGCTCTAGCGTACTGTAGTGTAGTGCAGATAGTATTTGAAAATATACTACCAAATTTCGACTACATCTTGGTGCAGCGAAATTAAATGAATAATATTTCTTCCAAGATGTCTTCCGGTACCAGGGCCCATCTAACAGCATTACACGACACCCTCCTCCAAAGTTCGTAACAAACAAGCTACTCATCAGTAATTCAATAAGATCAATTTTCAAGCAGAGAACTAGCCATAGTCATAGAATCTAAAGATGGAATATAGCTGAAAGAATACGTACACGCTATAGGAACTATCGTCAAACCAACAAACGTTAAATTCGCCTTAAGAATTTCAAATAACAGAATATGCATATTTCTTACGAGCAAAGAGTTAGCAAAAGAAACTATCAACAAACATACAAGCGTAACGAACCGTGAGCAAATACATGAGATTCGATTATTAACACGTCACAAACGTATCATCCTTTCAAACGTATGCCCGTCAATCTCACATTCCTTCATCGAAAGTATTATTGACAACAAAAACATTAGGCGTTGCTCGTCAATTTCATACCTAAAGGCTGGTATAGGTGAGGAATATGCCCATGTGCTGAGCCTGTGATACCTATTCCACACATCGAAAAAAAGAGAGAACTTCTCTATACAATTGAAAAACATTGGAACGAACAATGGAAAAACAATAACACGCTAAAAATACACGAATTCACCGTTGGTTTCTACGAAGAAAATCCTGCACTTGAGTTCTCTCGAAGAGAACAAGTTATTTTATCATGACTAAAAATTAGTCACACCAATTTAACCCACGTCCATCTAATTACCAAAGTTGCTCCTAAACGCTGCGATGAATATAAATAAATAAATAAATCAATTGTGACAGGGCTATAGCGATGCTCGCTGGCCCTGTGTGCGGCACTCTCCTCGCGTGAACGCAGCGACCAAGTGTACGCTATATAGCGACTACATACTTGTGTCGTTGCAGGATCTGGAGAGAGGAGCGCAACGATCGGCGAAGTGTCGCCGTGAGTGCGAGTGAGAGCGAGAAGAGCGAGAGAGAGAGAGCGATTTTGACTGATTTTTGACGGCGAGAGAAGTGGGAGCGCAGCGGCGCGAGGCGTAGAAATTAAGAGAGAAGAAGGGCAGTTAGGCGCGAGCTCTCAAGTAATTAGGGCCGCCTAAGGAGAGTCTGAACGAGAGGACATTTCGGCCAGAGAGGAACGACTGCCGAGAGTACGACTGCTATTTGCCGGGAGAATCAGGTGTTCCGAGCCGAGCCCGGACTAACAGCGACCATTCGCCGTCCCCGAGGCAAAGGCCGTGCTGCGGCCTCTCCTGCAGCAGTCCCAGTCATCGCCAGGGCGCTGCTTCCAGCGGGCCTGCGCTTTCGCCGGCGTCGTCTCTCTGCCGACGGACCGTCGGCATCCGGTGGGTCGAAAGCCTGTTTATCTCTCTCGCGCCAGCTCTCGCTCGATTACGGACATTAGCGTATTCTGATTTTATCGCGCACGCTGAGCGATCTCGCTCGCGTGATCTCGCGAACTCTTGTCGCGGAAAGGCTGAGTGAGCGCGCTCGCCGCGGCGAAGTGAATCTTGTAGCGATATTTGTGAAAAGGCGTCAATAAATGAGATCGCCATATGTAATATCATTGAATTAGAG